TAATAATCTCATATTCTGTTATCAGTGAAATGAAACTAAGCCAAACATTTACTGATTGTTTGTCTCCACTGTCAACTTTACACTTTCGATCTCTTTTAAAAATGGTGCACCTAATTATATTTCGATAGTATGTATCTTGGGTGGTTCTCCCTTTAATTTGTTCATTTCGTGACAAAATTGTTTGGTTATATTGTTTAAAAATCGACTTTTTATTGGAAACTAATAATTCAGAACAGTTCAATTGAACGATTGAAATGTTAGCTAGTTGTTTTCCAATGCATGCACGGCGACCTATCACACAAATAAATACAAAAATGGCATTTAAAAGAACATTATTGTAAATTAAATTAGTGTTGTATGCATTTTTTAGTAACTAGTACAAAAGGTAATACGAACCAATACTGAAAGGAATGATGCTTTCTGCATTTACGATTTTACCATCCGCAAGGAATCGTTCAGGGTTGAAGACATTTGGTTCCTGCCATAGTTTTGGATCCCTGTGCACAGACCATAGATTAGGAATGATCATCGTACCTTTCGGAATAAGGAAATCTCCCATTGTGACATCATCGGTGATGACATGAGGTAGAGACAATGGACGATGGAACTGATACGGTTCACCTCCACAATAACATCCTCTGTGTAAGGTAGTTTGTGTCTGTCAGCCATTGTGACGTCACGTGATTGGCCAATTTCATCGAGTATTTCTTGCCGTAGCCTGCTCTGTATATCTGGGTACAATGCCGAATATAGTATTGACCAGCTCAGTGCGGTCGATGTTGTTTCAGTACCGGCCGCAAATAAATCAACAACTGTTCGAATTAGGTTATTGTTATCAACTGATGTTGACTGTTTTTTCTTACGGCTTTTCAGCTCAGCCAGGTAAGCATCCACAAAATCTCTTGGTTCAGAGTTCACTGCAAAGTGCTTACTATGTTCATCAATATTGAGTTGAATCCAGTCTATTATACTGTTTATGGTATCACAGTATTTATCAACGACATTATATCGTGGAATATACCGTAAAATTGGAAGGAAGTTTACTACAGTAGTCGATCCAGCTATTTCTGAAGTGTGTATGATCATTGCCAACAAGTGCTGAAACCTACGGTCATTATACCGTATGCCCATGCACATAAAACATATAATGTTCGAAGTAGCATTTGTAAATCGTCGATAAATCCATTGGTTTTCCATTCTCTTCATCAATCGCCTTCATCAGAAAATGAACTTCCGCCACGATTTTATCCACCAAAATTGATTTACCCATTCCAAACTTTCTGAGGGTCATCAAAGTGAATCTGCGAAGTTGTCGTCCTGTATCATTGTGTTGGGTATGTACCAATCCTGCAAATAAATTGAATAATCGGCACATTAAACATTGTTTTTATAGTCCGCCTGACCATTTCGCGAAGAGCATTCTTTATTACATTCTAACTTCTGCGTATTGCATTGTGCTTGATGATGTGCTATGCTGTTACTGAGTGCTACGTGTGACCTGGGTGTCTGTCAACACAAAATCTGTATCACATAACGCATTGTAAGTACACTGCATTTATTAATAAATGCTTTGTTCACCAAGTGACACCAGCAATAGAGATTAGTCTGACACATCGTTTAAAATAAATTCATCAAAACTCCTGTAAAGTTATTTAAGAAATACTTTTTGTAGTTGGTTATAATTAATATGTTTATGCTCTTATTTTAGTCAATACTGTATTTCACTAGGAACTGAATCAATGTGCAAACTTGAACTAGATAAACCAATATGTGTCTTTCAAATACAGCAGTTATGACCATGGGTCACCAGAAAAGAATAATTGTTTAATGATTTATAAACTTAATTCTAAAAATACGTCTCCAATATGCTTTTGTTACTACACATGCTATGTTATACCAAGCACGGTAAACCTAGTTATTGTATATGTATATTGTACATTCGCAGCCTATGATGACCAAAATGCATAGTTAATAGCGTATTAAACATACGTGGTTACATGAAGACGATTATAATTTCTGCAACTCACTATTTCTTTGATAACAACTTTCAGCTAAACCTCTTCTACTTGCATCCTGTACACTATACACAGGATATATGTATTTCGCTTCTCAAATTAAGCTTCAATTTAAGTAAAATAAATCAATTAAAATATATGATGTTTAACGGGGATATATGCCCAT